AAACTCTTGAAACTCTGCTCATACTCAAACGTAGTTTTAAGTAAAATGGGTACCATGACTTGCAGGAAAGCAGGAAAGTGGTAGCCCAGAATTCAGTTGAGAGGCTCTTGAACCTGTTTCAAATCACCCTTTGCTTCCTAGAGGGATTAGGAATGCGAGGGACAGGATCTCACTTAAAAAAACGAGCATACGCTTGGACCTCATCTCTACATTCACTTAATGCTTGCCAGAAACTTGCCTAACTTACTCCCCTATGGATAATTATTGATAGTTACTTTGGAATCTGGGCTGGAGCGACAGCACAGCAGACAGGGCATTTGTCTTGCACGCGGCCGACCTAGGTTCGATTCCTCCGCCCCTCTAGGAGAGCCTGGCAAGCTAAGGAGAGTATCCTGGCAGCACGGCAAGCTACCCGTGGCATATTCGGTATGCCAAAAACAGTAACAATTCTCACAATGGAGACATTTCTGGTGCTCACTCGAGAAAACTGATGAATGACGGGAGGACAGTGCTACAAGTGCTACTTTGAAATCTGCAGGAGTCCCTCAAACTATACAAGATACAATGGCTCAGTATCAGACACAATACTTACATTTACAAAATGAAATTTTATCTTATCAAGGTCTTTCAACATTTCAACAATTCTTCTTCTAAAAACTATACACTGGACCAGAGAGATAACGTAGGGGTCAAAGCCACATCAAAGATATATGCTTTGCATGTGACGGGACCAAGTTCTAGGGATGAACTGCTTGTTGCAGTTCCAGTTGGGTGTATTGGTAGGAATTCCCCACCCCTCCCCCCAATTGTACTCTTAAATTCTCAAAACTTGTAACTTGTTTTCTTAAATTAAGTACACACCAAATATAATTCCTCTTAGTAGATTAGCTTGTCTCTGGCTTCCAGGACAGTGATAATTCACCACGATATGATTAGAAGAGAAACAAATTTCTTGGTGTTAAGTAGTTCAGGGGATGAAAACTGAGCTTCTTGTTAAAAACAAAAATTCTTATGGTCAAAGATTGGATTGAGTTCCAATGAACTCAGAGAATCTTCAAATTGCCAGGTTTAATAAAATGGAAAAACGGTACTCACAAAGAAAACTACTTTCACTACTTATAGGAAAAACTCAAGGTCAGAAGGCACAAACATGAAGCTAGACATTTAAAACCTGTCATTACCTAAGAATCAACAAAGAAGGAGTGAATCACAGTAGATATTAACCAACAAAGTTCTATTAGAATTTAAGAGCAAACACTGCAAAAAAGCGAGGAGGGCGCATACCAGAAGTACTGGGGCTCAGGGGTCACTCATCCCGGTGCTGCAGATCCTGTAGTTCTGTGCTGGGATGCAGTGGTTTGGGTGGACCACCAGGGTCTGAACTCGATCTTTTTTGGTGGGGGAGAGTGTGTGTGTGGGGTATGACTGCACACCTGGCAGTGCTCAGGGTTTACTCCTGCTCTTCACTCAGGTGCAGGAGATTGAACCCAGGTTGGCTATGTAGAAGGTAAACACTAAGCCCAGACTTTCCCTCCGGGCTCTGAACTAGTCTTGCTCATGTCAGGCATGTGTTCTACCACTCTTTTCCCAGCCCCCAAGAAAGTTTTAATAGAAATCTCTTGAGAGGTTATTAAGATTTTAGAATCCTGAAAGATTATACCTAAGAATGAAGCAAAATGAGATTTACGTCAAATTAAAAGTTTGGGAAATATTAAGAATTTGCCATTAGTGAGAAAAATGTAAGAATACACATTATGGGAAAAGGTTTGGGAAGTTTTCATATTTATTTTTTAAATTTCATATATGTAGAGTTGACTCCAACTAGCAATGGACTGGAAGATTACAGCAAATAGAAACATTTCTTTTGTTTCTCCAAACTATATAGAACAAGCTACAAATTCCTGATGAGAACGTTTAGTAAAATGAGCACCAACTTCAATCAGGACTTTCTACAACAGCACATTATTACCAAAACAACTTTAACGTTTAAATTTTGTGCATACTGAAAATGCGCAATCTTATTGTTACAGCACTTCCATTAAAAGAACAATTCCCAAAGTGACAAGTGTTATCTGCTTTGCATAATGACATTTAATAGACATTTCTAGAAAAAAAAATCCATTTGATCGTCTTGTATTCTTTGAGACTTCAGTCGATCAACTGTTGATTTTCCTTGAAAGGTTTATCCACTTTCTGAACTCCCTTAATATCTTAAGAGTCATTCCCTTTCATTACCCTGGCAAGTTTCAGGTTCCTGAAGGGAGAACTGGGACATATAGTTATATCATGGTATGATATAGGGTGAATAATGTACATATATATTAGCAATAAGTATATTTGCCAAAAGTAATTTTTGTACTGTCTGTTTTGTTATCCATTACATAATTCTTTACCCCATTGTTAGAGCAAATAAGGCTTGAGCAATATCTAAAAATTTACCATGTACATTTTCCAATCTTTTCAATTCTGAATTTTTATCAGAACTTATCCTATGTTGATTATATAATTCTAAATAAACTTAACCCAGTTTTAAATAAAGATTTTGCTCTCTGAGCTGTTTTGAAAACTTTTTGCCTCATTTACATGAAATATAAATTAAACAAAAATATATATAAATGCAATTCTCTCAATCTGGAATAATGCTTCTAGGAAATTTTTTTCCCCTCAGAAATCCCGATAATTTTAAAAGTAAATATATAAGAAACATCAGAAAGTACATAAATACATTACTTTTCTCTATCCTCTGGTTAAGTGGCACTTAAAGGACTTTTATAAATTATCAAGATATTTTCTAGAAGCTTTTCAAAATTCTCTAGAAGAACTGAATTCAGATTTAATTCTTCAAAGAGTAAGACTCTAAATTTTATCATAGAGTAAAAAATATGAACTAAGATTCACACTATTCTTTGGCTCCATAAATGAAATTTATTTCCTTTCTTTTTCACCGATATTATAGAGATCTATTGTTCCTTCACTTAATATAAAATAATCTTTCACCGTTGTACTTTAAAAACTCAAGAATAATTACTCATTCGGCAATGCACACCAGATGAATAGTCTACCATATAAGGAAGGTGGAAAGTAGGCAGTAAGAAAACGCATTGTCTACAACAACTTAAAAATCATCAACAGACTGAAAATTGTTTGTCCTTTATTCTCACCATGTCCCAGTGACTGTCAGATTACCTCTCCAAGGTGAAGGCTATGGCACACTCATCTCTCACTCTTCTGGTAAGTCACTTAAGGAAGTCCCCCTTCATTTTCCTAGTTTACTATTTTATTTCTGTTAAGATGTCCTCACTTCAACATACTTTAATGATGAAAAAGCACTGTTCTTATACTCTTTATCAATGGCTTTACTTATATTTAGTTGCCTGGTAAGTACAGAACTAGTAGAAGAACATGGATTATAATAGAAAGCGATATATATCAAAATAAAGCATCAGGCTGCAGCATTTTTCATAAAGACTGATTAAAACTATAAGTGAAGGGGGAAAGAAGCCCTGAAATTAAGGGATGCATTTGAGCAAATGTAAGCAAGGCACAATATATTAGACAAACAAGAAAAAAATGCCATACTGCATTAAAAAGTTAAGTATGACAAATGTAGACAATGTGGAACTGGAGCGATAGTAGAGTGGGTGGGGTGCTCCCTTGCATGCAGCAGACTTGGGTTTGATCCCCAGTCAGACTCCCTTAAGGTTCCCTCGCTAGGAGTGCTCCCTGAGCACAGGGCCAGGAGCATAGCAAGATGTGACCCCAAAACAAACAAACAAATATATATATAAGGTAAATGAAGTAAAATTTAAAAGGGAAAGAAATTAAGTTATAGTTGGTATCTTTCTTATTCAGTGCTCAAATAATGAGCTAAAGATACTCTTGGAAGTTATTAGTCTTCGAAAACACGTTTTATTTAGGATGAAGAAATCAGTAATGAGTATACCACACAGTTTACAAAACACCTTTCCATAAAACATATGATCCCATTTGAGCTATTACGTTTCAGGAAGTAGCCACTAAGCCATAGTGGGAAGCAGTACAAATATCTGGGGACAAAATATAGGCTTTACACATGTAAACACATGTGTTAACTTGGGAATATTAACTTCCTTAAATCTTGGTTTCTTCACATAAAAATGGAGATCATGACTAATCTTTCTTTATAATTACTGTGAAACAAAACAGACAACACATTAATACAATAGTTGGCCCAATAAGTATCCAATAAATGCTATTATCATTCTTGTACAGGTTAACAGACTAGCAGGGCTTAGACCAGTGTCCTATGGTTACTAATTAGCAAAGCTAGGAGTAAAACTCTAGATTGGACGTTTCCTATTATCTTAGAGCATTTATGAGAATCTACCCTTAATTACAGCAGGATATTAGCCTTTTTTTGCACTATTTCTATTGGCGGTGCCAGGGACCAAATTCAGTGGCTCATATGTGAAGAGTGTGATCTACCATGGAGCCACATCCTAGCCCATATTGTTCTATTCTTACAGTTTATTTCTTATAACTGAAAGTAACCAAATTCCCAGATTTTAATGACATCCAGATCATTTCCTACTTAAAAACAGTAAAAATGGGAATTTAAGTTATCCACAGGTATTAAAAGAAATGGTCTCTATGGACAATTAAAGTTGAGACTATAGTCTAGGGCTAGAAAATTTTGCTTTTCTTGAAACCTCAAAAATGGAAATATTGTCTATTAAAGCTGGTAGACAGCATAAAGATCATAAGCTCTGAATGCAGAGATATTGTCTATTGCTATATCTCCAGACTCCAGAACGTGATTAGTAGGCATATACAAATATTTAAGAAATGAATAAATTAAAAAAATTTTTAAACATGCTAGTAGTAGTAAAGGCCTAGAATTTACTTTGTTACGTTTTCCTCTCTATTTATAACTGTATGATAATAAAAAAGTCTAGCATATAGTCAACTACCCATAAAATAGGGGATTTTTATAAAAAGATCCAAAGAAATAAAAGACTAAATAAGGCCTTGAATAGCTTTATTGAAATCTGTATAAATAAACATGCACATTTCAAATGTAAACTCAAGTGAACTCAAGTGCAGACAAAATTTTAACCTCTGTCATGCAGGAGGTTAGTTTACATTTAAAAAAAAAAGAGAGAAAAGAAAAAAAAACCCAAAGCAGCTTTAAAATACCAGGATGAAAAACCAGCTTTAATATCAAGGTATAAAGCAAAGCCATGATCAACATACCTCATTTATCCTGGTCAAATGCATATTTTTAAAACTTTTAAATGCTAACATAAATAAATAATTTACCAAAATGTGCACTCACAGAGTGAACTTTTATTTACAATACACAATTTATAATCTATTGTATTTGATTAGTTCAAGTGAAGAACATTATACTTTTTGCTTTAATAACAGTGGGACACAAAACAATTTCTCAGGTAGTCAATATGTGAAATGTGTCCCAGTATTTATATTTTCTATTAAAGGCAGTACTGTATGCCAATTGACAATACATTCTTTTAACTAGATCAAAGGGAAAAAGCAGCAAATGAAAAATGTTTCAAATGTTCACACATATTTTTGGCATCCTGGATCCTTGAACGTGGTAAACTAAAATTAAATTCCAGGTTTTTATGCTTTATATACTGTCCAAGTTCAGACTCTGGAACATGCAGATGCCACTTCTCTTATAACAAGATACCTTCTGAGAAAAGCTGTAAGGCTATGGTGAATTCCATCAGGAACACACAAAGAAAGTTAACAGACCTACCTGTAAAGCCAATTGTCCATTCATTATTTAAAGGCCAGAATATGAAAAAAAAAAAAACTTCAAAGCATGATGTAATCATTACTACTGATACAGAGTACAATTAAATCTTTCCTTATGTTACAATATTTCATAGGTTGAAGTTGCCAAATTACAAAAGAATGGGGTAGAGAAAAACAGACAGCAAAAATTTTGATTTTTGGACCAACACCAAATTAAAATAAATGAATTTTAATGTAAGTTAAAGAAAATTTAAATGGCAAAGGAACAGATTCTAATTGCAACAACAACAACAAAAAAATCAACATAAAAAAAACCCTTACATTTAACTGAAAAATGACTTTAGATGAAGAGTGAAATCTAGAAACTGTTTCCTACAATAGCATAGAAAACTGGAACATAATATTCTAGTTTTAATACTATGAAAGGAAATAACTTTTTCAAGACTTCCATGTAACATGATTCATTTTTAAAAAATAGGTCTACATTGATTGCCAGGGATAGACTTGAAAATTTGGTTTTCCAAGGATACTACTGCAGTATTTATGCCACATTGATACTGCAGCTAAATATTATAATAGTATATATAGCAGCCTAATGCACATGATCTAGATTATCCAAAAACTAAGTTCAGCCATAATTTTCTTGCAGTATATTAGAGCAAAATAAACGACCAACATCCACAAATTTAACATTTGTCATCAGTTAACTCACATCCAAAAAATTAAAGAAAACATAATTCATCAAAACAGCAGCAAACTTAAAAGGGATTTATTTGTGATTTCCTATATATATTTAGCTTGTAAATACAAGACTGTAAATGTATTAAGAGACAATTTCTGTTAAAGTTTTCATTGTGTTTCACTTCAAGTACTGCACAAGTTAAAATCTGATAAAGGATTTACATTCGGTTATCTGAAACTTCCCATCTCAGACTTGTGTTTAATGTGGTGGGTAACTTCATCATCTCAATAGATACCACCAGCAGGAAAGTCTCTCCTTTATGGCTTCTAGGACTTTCATTAGTTAGTGTGCATACAGTTTTCATTTTCTATATCATTGTCATTATCATTGCTATCTTCATCACTTTCTAATGGGATGCCTGTGGCAGCTGAAGCACCTTTAGTTTCTCGGTCAAGAGGGAAAAAGCCAGTTCCACTGAAAGTGTCTTGTCTCTGGTAGAAGAGCACATACGCTGCTTTGGACTGTTAAAACAAAGAAAGTAAAAACAGGCATGAATCTCAATGGTCACAGTAAAATACAATAAAAGGGGCCGAGAGACAGATTAACAGATGGGAGTGCATTGCTTTGCATGCTGGAGGCCTGGGTTTCATACCAAGTCAGTCACACATGGTCCTGAGCAAAAAAGAGCACTCCTGAGTGACTCCTAAGCACAGAGTTGGGAGTAATCCTCAAGCACATCTAGCACATAGCTTGCCCCCCCCCCCCGAAAGAAAAACAAAACCAAAGAGAGAAAATAATTTTTTGTAATCTACTTGGAGACAGGGCATAAATCAATGAGAAAAGCCACACATGGTCAAACAGAAATTATTAAACTGATTAAATATAAGATGACTCCTATATAGCAAGGAAAGAATGGTTACTGAATGAGTATTTTTTCCCTTTCATGTTTTTAAGTCACACCAGATGTGCTTAGGAACTGTGTTGTGACAGGAATCAAACCCAAGCTTTCTGCAAAGCATGGGCTGTGGCTTATTAAGTGACCTCTCTGGCCCAAAAATGGACTTTAAAAAATTTCTTTCAAGTCATTTGGACAAATACAAGAATATCACAGATGAACCTTCATATTCTAATAAAGTTCTGAACTGTTTCATTACTATCTCAAAAAAAGGGTAACCGTCTTATGTTCTACTAATTCTATGTTTGAGGTAGAGTGCAACTTCCTATCAGTAATTTCAGGACTTGCTCCAATAATCGTAACTATTTATCTTTACTGAAATCCTTATCCTTGGTTTTTGATATACAAAAATACCTTTCCCATCAGAAATCACCAAATCTCCTCTTCTGGCTGCTGTATTCCCCCTTCCTCATAGCCAGGCTAGCTGAGTGAGCAGTCTATATTCATCATGCTCGTTCCTCAGTTCAATAAGATCAATTGTCCCAGCCATCCTAATAGAGTAGCTTTTGTCAATAACTTACAAATAAATGACCGGCTTTTTAAGTCAATCTCTTTATTTGCTTCACTATTCTTTCTTATACCAATACCACCACTTTTTCCAAGATCAATTATCTCTATTGTATTGTCTGACTTTTCTGTGTGCTCAGTAAAATTCAATTTAAAAAAAAAAATCATGTTTTGGCCAGGAATAGGCTTGGTGGAGTAGTATGTGCTGCATACATAAGACCTTGGATTTAATTCCCTATAGAACCAAATAGTCAGGTTTGGGGCCTGAGTGACAGGACAGTGGGTAGGGAGTTTGCCTTCTATGTGGTTGAGCCAGGTTCAATCCCCAGCATCCCATAAGGTCTCCTGAGCACCACCAGGAATAATTCCTGAGTGCAGAGCCAGGAGTAAGCCCTGAGTACACTGTGTGTGGCCCCAAAACAAAATCATAGAGTTGGGGATATAGTTTGGTGGTAGAACACATGGTTTGCATACTGTAGCTCTGGGTTTGAGCCCAGACACCAAGACAAACCACTGCCCTGCAGAAACTAAGCCAAACCAAACTTCCCTGGTCCCTAAACCCCAAATAAAAATATACCTGAGGCTGGAGTGATAATACAGTAGACAGGGAACTTTTCTTGCATGCAGCCTTCCTGGGCTCTATTCCCCAGCACCTCATATGGTCCGAGTCTGCCAGGAGAGATTGTCTGTCACTGTCCACACTGTCCTCCTCTTGTTCATCAATTTGCCCGAGCGGGCCCAGTAACATCTCCATTGTGAGACTTCTTGTTACTGTGTTTGGCATACTGAATACTCTTGGTAGCTTGCTAGGCTCTCCGAGCGGGGCGGAGGAATCGAACCTGGCTCGGTCAGCTGGCTGCATGCAAGGCAAACGTCCTACTGGTGTGATATCATTCCAGCCAGGAGAGATTTAAAAAAAAAATTTTTCTGGGATCAGGAGCTGACTGGGAGCCATGATGGAATTGTTTGGCCCAGCGCCCCCATGCGGTTTGGAAGAACAGTCTCAACCTGCCATGGTGCCATCTTAGTGCACACAGCAGTGAAGAAACCTGGCCGGCAGGCACCACAACACCCAGACAATTCTCTGGGCCCCATACTGAGTCGATATCACCGGGAGGTCCCAGATGGGGTAGGTGCAGTCTCCCTGCCTTCTCCAGATGGAAACCCAGCGACCATGAGCTTCTATAGGCATGGCTCTGGTATGTGGGCATGGCCGCAGAATCTTTCCTGATATGCAAAGTAATGGAAAGTAATGATCTAGTGTCTGTCCCTGGAAGGCAGGCTTGAATGGTGGTGGGAAAATCTGAGCAAAATATAATGCCCAACTGAAAGGCATCCAGACTATGCATTAAACTACAGCCTTATGCCGCCTCCAGGAGGGGCATTAAACTACAGCCTTATGCCGCCTCCAGGAGGGGAAGGGTGTTTGTCCCTCCATCATTCCCCACCTAGTGGCGGCGGCATGGTGGCTGCCATCTTTTAGAGCCTAATGGACAGCCAGGTATGAGACTGCACTGATGGAGCACACGGGGCCTCATGGGATGGGAGGTGGAACCAGCCCTGCTTCCCGCCCTGACAAGGCACCGAATTACCACCCACGAACACCTCCTCTGGCTCCTGAATGACCATGATCTCAGAGGCACACAAACCAATCTCGGAACCCAGCAGCTTTTGGCAGTAATCCCTTTAGACTTATTACTAAAATATCAGAACTCCAAAATCACGTGCCCACAATAGCAGCCACGCGACATCATATGCTATTCATAATCAGCAACAGAAAACAAATTATCTAATGATCTCTTTTTGTCAGGTCTGAATGTTGGGGAAAATTCCAAATAATAATGGTGGATCTTTTGTTGTAATATTGAATGTGATCAATGTAGAGAGAGAGTAAAGTGGAAATATGCCACAAGGCAGGGGAGGGGTATGTGGGGAGGTATACTGGGGTTCTTGGTGGTGGAAGATGTGCACTGGTGAAGGGATGGGTGTTTGATCATTGTATGACCGACCGAGATTTAAACTGAAAGGCTTTGTGACTGTTCTCACGGTGATTCAATAAATAAAAATTAAAAATAAAACAAAAACAACAACAAAAAAGAAATAGTCCCCCCCAAATAAGAGCAAGGCCTTCAGAATATTTTTTCTTTTTATATTTTAGTGGGCTGGAGTGATAGCACAGCAGGTAGGGTGTTTGCCTTGCACGTGGCCCACCCAGGTTCGATTCCTCCAGGAGAGGCCAGCAAGCTACCGAGAGTATCTGGCTGGCATGGCAGAGCCTGGTAAGCTCCCCATGGCATATTCGATATGCCAAGAACAATAACAACAAGTCTCACAATGGATACGTTACTGTTGCCTGCTGGAGCAAATTGATGAATAATGGGAGGACAGTGCTACAGTGCATATTTTAGCATTCTGAGTTTGGTCTAAACTTATGTGGATGGACATATTTTAAAGAAAAATTTGTATTATTTTCACTAGAAATTCCATTTATATTGAAGACAAAAAATCATCACTGCAATTCATGCATTTGTTGTGTGTGAATTCAGAAGCAATTTTCTATTTAGGGAATGATTTTGCATATTTTAAATATCCGAATGAACCTCTAAGGGTCAGGAGGATCATTGCACCACAGCTTTGAAGCTGGTCCCATGTGCTAGGTAGAGAAGGCAAGACCAAGTAAATGATGGTTGGAGGGATTGCTTGGGATGGGAGATGTGTGCTAAAAGTATGGACCAAACATGATGGCTTCTTAGTACCTGTACTGCAAACCATAGCACCCAAAAGGAGAGAGAATAGGAGGGAATTTGCCTGCCACAAAGGCAGGGGGTGAGAAGGGGTGGGGGTGTTGGGAGGGATACTGGGACATTGGTGGTGGAGAATGGGTACTAGTAGAGGGATGGGTGCTGGATCATTGTATGACTGAAATGTAATCGTGAAAGTTCATAAGTCTGTAACTGTATCTCACGGTGATTCAATTAGAAAAGAAAAAGACATACTTACCACAATCTGATCTTCAGATGCTGTTGAGACACTACTGTCATCAAAGTAGTACCACTTTCCATCATCCTTATTTTTTGCAAAAGCAGTATCTAATAAAAAAATACAAGCACTCCTTAACTAAAATGATTTTTGGGAAGGAATATTCAAAACCTCCTCCTCATAAAAATAAATATTAATTGCATGATTATCACTGAGTATTATCTATTACATTATAATGGATTTACATTGGTTAAGTTTTTTTTTTTTTGTCACAGACAGGGATTACTCAGGGGTTACAAAGCCCAGGGGTTACTCCTGGCTTTGCACTCAGGAATTAGTCCTGGTGGTACTCCGGGGACCATTATGGGATGCTGGAAATTGAACCAGGGTCGGCTGCATGCAAGGCAAGTGCCCTACCCGCTGTACTATCACCCCAGCCCCCTACACTGGTTAAGATTTTACGAATAACGTTCAACAATTTAAATACCTAGGATAGGTTTCAAACATGACTTTTTCATCATGAGGAAAACCAAACAAAGGATTCTTCTATTAAGAGACTACAATAGCACAGCGGGTAGGGCGTTCGCCTTACAAGCGGCCAACATAGCCGACCCGAGTTCGATTCCTCCGCCCCTCTCGGAGAGCCCGGCAAGTTACCGAGAGTATTCGATATGCCAGACACAGTAACAACAAAGTCTCCAATGGAGACGTTACTGGGCCCGCTCGAGCAAATCGACGATCAATGGGAGGGCCTTTACCTTTTTACCTAGTCCTAATGGATAAAAATGGTCACTAACATTTATACAGTGCTCTGTGTACAGATGTCAGGGCTTACTCCTGGTTCTGTGCGCAGTTATCATTCTTTGTAGTGTTTGAAGGGCCAAATGTAGTGCAGAGAATAAAACCAAAATTGGCTACACACACGGCAAGAGTCTGAATCTCTGTACTGTCTCTCTGGCCCTCCTTAAAAATTTTTTTGTTTCGTTTCTGGGACACAAGTGGCAGTCTTCAGGGCTCTGTACTGAGGGAGTAATTCCTGGTGGTGCTTAGGGAACAAAATGGGGTTCTGGGAATTAAACTTGGGTTGGCTGTGTACAAGGCAAAAGCCCTACCCTCTGGAACTTCTGCCTTAAAATTTTAAATAGACCATGGTACTGGAGCGATAGCACAGCGGGTAGGGCGTTCGCCTTACAAGCGGCCAACATGGCCGGCCCGAGTTCGATTCCTCCGCCCCTCTCGGAGAGCCCGGCAAGCTACCGAGAGTATTGGATATGCTAGACACAGTAACAACAAAGTCTCCAATGGAGACGTTACTGGGCCCGCTCGAGCAAATCGACGATCAACGGGAGGGCCTTTACCTTTTTACCTTTTAGACCATGGTACAGAACAACAAAAATCACTGAAGTTTTAATATACTCCTATGGATTAGTAGAGAAAATGCCTTATTAAGTAGTAAGTTTAAGATGAGAGCCTTAAAAACCATATAGCTGAAAAAACATTTGACTAAATAACCTTGGTCTTGTCAGAAAGTTCTAAAAAAATTCTACATATATGTCTATAAAATCAAAAGGCAATGAAAAGAAGACATTTCAAAATTTATAGGCTAGAGCTAATGCTGTACATTTAGAAAAAAATTTCTAGAGTTCAGTATAAGAAAAAAAATAATGGAAAACAAAAAGCCAGTAAGTACTCCATTAAACAAGTTAGAAAAAGAGCAACAGAGCAAATCCAAAGTATAAAGAAGAAAAATTTACCAAAGTGAAAAGATACAATCAATGAGACAGGAATATAATATTAATGAACAGGTAATTCTTGGAAAAATAAGCTGGAAATATTAAGAAAAAAGAGGGTAAACAGAACAGCTGAGTAAGACAAACAAATATTGTTAAATAAATAGGAAAAAACATGGTCTTAGAAAAATAGAAAGTGCCAAACTATCTGGACAATAGTTCATTAAATATGAGAAAAAAAACCCCCAAAAAACTACTGCTAAAAAGCTCAGGTAGTTTTACAGGCAAACTCAGCAACAAATCTGAGATTCCACTAGCTGTTTTAGTAAAGCGTCCCAGTTTGCTTTGTAAGTCTAGTCATAAACTTTGATTTCAAAGAAAGAATATTAAAAAAAAGTCACAAATAAATTGTAGAACCTTAAATAAAACTAGCTAACCAAACCAAAATGAGTGTAATAAAAAATACGCATTTTTTTTTTAACTTTTGTTTTTTTAGGCATGTCTGGGAGTGCTCACGGCTTACTCCTGGCTCTGGTGCGCAGGGATCAATCCTGGTGATGCTTGGAGACCCTTATTTGGTGTTGGGACTGAACCTGAGTCAGCTATGTAAAAGGCAAGTGCCTTATTCACTGTAGTACTCTCCAGCCCCCAAATACGTCTCTCTCTCTCTGTGGTTTTTTATTTTTTTGCTTTTTGGGTCACATCCAGCAATGCACAGGGATTACTCCTGGCTCAGAATTTACTCCTGGTGGTGGTGCTTGGGGGACCATATGGGATGCGGGAATTGAACTCCTGGTGATGCTAGGGGGACCATATGGGATGCTGGGAATCGAACCCGGGTTGGCTGCATGTAAGCCTTACCTGCTGTACTATCACTCCAGCCCCCAAAATATGTCTCTTTAAGTGGCATTTATCCCAGGAATACCCAACAGGTTCAAAAGGAAAATCTAGTTAGAAATGGTACATTGATATTCTCTACTGGAGTCATCTGACAGTATTTAAAAACCCAGCAGCCTTACTTTCGGGTATTTACTCAAAGAAATAATCACATAAACGACCCAAAACAATTTTCTATCAGCCTAGAGGTGTTGTGATAGAAAGGGAATTTCGATATTCCTCATCTGTAAATCATGAGTGGTTAAAAGCAATGAACCAAATGATACAAAGTAATCAAAAAGATGTCAAGTATCAAGATTTAAAAAAGTTAATTTTCTGAAATCTACAACACAGTACCAATTATAAAATGATGCCTGACTGTAAGAGCAACTAAATCACACACTATTTTTTTTGTTTCTCAACGAATTTTTTTTTATTAGTGAAACACCATGAGGTACAGTTGTAGGCTTACAAGTTGTTGTGCTTGGGTTTCAGTTATACAATGATCGAGTACCCATCCCATCACCAGTGCCCATTCTCCACCCCCACCATTACCAGTATCCCTCCCACCCCCCCAACCTTCATCCTACCCTGCCTCTGTGGCAGGGCACTCCCTTTTGTTCTATCTCTGGTTTTGGGTGCTGTGGTCTGCAGAAGAGACATTGGGTGGCAATCATGTTCGGTCCATAGACTACTTTCAGCAGGCATCTCCCATCCTGGGCAGATCTTCCCCGCACCCTTTATTTGGTGCTCCCTTCTCGATCTGAGCTGCCTTTGCCCCTAGAGTATGCAGCTGGCCTCTAAGCCATGGAGTGAACAACCTGGTATTTATCACAGCTGTTCTTGGGTGTTAGACTCTTATTTTGTTACTTTATGTTACCCAGATGAATGCAATCCTTCTATGTCTGTCCCTCTCTTTCTGACTCATTTCACTTAGCATAATATTTTCCATGTAGTACCACTTGTATGTAAATTTCATGACTTCATTTTTTCTAACTGCTACATAGTACTCCATTGTGTAGAGGTACCAAAGTTTCTTTAACCAGTCATCTGTTCTCGGGCACTCAGGTTTTTTCCAGATTGTGGCAATTATAATAGTAAAGAGTGCTGCAATGAACAAACAGGTGCAGATGTCACTTCGACTATACTTTTTAGACTCTCCGGGGTATATTCCCAGGAGTGGTATTGCTGGGTCAAATGGGAGCTCAATTTCTAATTTTTTGAGAGTCATTCATACTGTTTTCCAAAAGGGTTGAACCAGTCCGCATTCCCACCAGCAGTGAAGGAGGGTCCCTTTCTCGCCACATCCGCGCCAACACAGGTTGCTTTTGTTCTTTTGAATGTGGGCCAGTCTCTGTGGTGTGAAATGATATCTCGTTTTGGTTTTGATCTGCATCTCCATGATGATTAATGATGTAGAGCATTTTCACATGTACCTTTTAGCCATTCAGATTTCTTCTTTGAGAAAGACTGTTCATTTCATTGCCCCACTTTTTGATGGGGTTGGATGATTTCTTCTTGTGGAGTTCAACCAGTACTCTGGAGTGATAGCACAGCGGGTAGGGCGTTCGCCTTACAAGCGGCCAACATGGCCGACCCGAGTTCGATTCCTCCGCCCATCTCGGAGAGCCCGGCAAGGCTACCGAGAGTATTCGATATGCCAGACACAGTAACAACAAAGTCTCCAATGGAGACGTTACTGGGCCCGCTCGAGCAAATCAAAGATCAACGGGAGGGCCAGTACTTTGTATATCCTTGATATCAACCCCTTGTCGGATGTGTATTTGGAGAATATCCTTTCCCATTCTGTAGACTGTCTTTGTATCTTGGTCACTGTTTCTTTTGAGGTGCAGAAGCTTCTTAGTTTAAGACAGTCCCATTTGTCTATCTCTGTTTTCACTTGCTTGGCCAGTGGCGTAAATCACACACTTTAGAAAGAGAAGGGGACAGTGTCCTAAATGAAGTGATTTTCTTGTGCCTGGAATTGAAGAGTCTGACTGATTTAATTCCTCCACAAATGACTTATAATATGAAAATTCAAAAGTTGACTCATTGTTATTTATTGAACCACTGTTGTTTAAGATTAACTCACACTTTCCCTTTAAGTTACAGATAATTTGAGTTATCAAATATTATTCAAATATAATTTTAGTAAAAATGTAAACTATCAACTTACAGTGTCCTCCTCCCATCCCTCCATAGTGGTTGGAAACAGCAATTAAATTATAGCGGCAAGGACCTGCATTTGGATTAATTAGGAATTCTGACATATCCAAGTCACTGTTTAAGAGAGAGATCAGTTAGTTTTGTTTTTCCTATATGCAACAAATTTTATTCCTTCTTGTCAGTGTTTTTTGACACATACACATTCCAGTAAAAAAAAAATTAATTCTTTTTTGGGACCACACCTGCGGTGCTCAAGGACTACACAGTGTTGGGGGCTGAACCTGGGCTTCCTAAATGAAAAGATACACTAAGCCCATTGAGCTATCTTAAGTAAATTATTTTATAAAACAAATCATATGCATAAATCTGAAATTGAATGCTTTAACAAATATTACTTAGAAGTTAAGAATTAAAAAAAATTTCCCACTGATTATACTTATTCAGATTAATATTTTTACATTGATATACTCTTGGGATACAAGGAAAAACAGCTGATATCATTTTTTCATTTGGGGTTTTCTTATTTTTGTATTTCTAAAATCACTTGGAGGAATGATTTATTTAAGGGCAAATTAAAAAGTGTAAAAAGCATCTTTCTTGGAAATTTTATAATTAAAATATATCTAAACCTCAACATTTATTCTATATTTTCTGTTTTGATGATCTACATATAAAGAGCATCATTCTTTGAATACAATCAACTGTCTATAATCTGTAATGCAAGAAATTTGCTCCTCCCTCCTTCCCTCTCTCTCTTCCTCCCTCCCTCCTTTCCTTCCTTCCTTTATTCCCAGTGATGCTGAGGGGTTATTCCTGGCTCTGCACTCAGGAATTACTCCTGGCAGTACTTGGGGGACCATATGGGATGCCAGGGATTAAATTTGGGTAGGTCTCATGCAAGGCAAACGCCCTACCCACTGTATCGCTCTGGCCCCTATCTCATTATTTCTTTACTTGTATCATTAAGAGCAACAATTCTAAATTTCAAATACACAATAAAATTCTAGGTTATTTCTCTCATACCATTAAAATGCAATGTTCAGGAACATTTTGATGGGTCACAATTTTGTTAAAGAGTAAGAACTACTTTTTGTGTTTCACAACTGCAAATCATTTTCAACTTTAAACTTACAAGCACCAATTAAAATAAGAAATCCTATTAATGGATATAATAATGTTTTCAATATCATATCATTTTTTTCTTGCCAATTACTGCCTGGATGATCTGTCTACTAACTAGTGATATTAAGGAACTTTGCTGTGCAAGTGGCAGGAGGTAGGGAGGAATACTCTCAATGTCCTTTTAGTAAAAGGGGAGAGCACCATGCTTTTCTTACAATTTACTGCATGATAAAGTTCTTCTGAGCTATGTGAATGACATGAGAATACAGTATTTCCCCCTTTGTGCCTCTGAAGTCTTATTATGTTTAGTGAAAACTTGAAAAGTGGCAGAGCACAAAAATGCAGCTTTGGAATTTCTTTTTACAAACATGCTATCATATTCTGGACAATGTAAGAAAACTAAAGGATGACACAGTAAGGAATACTTATTTTTTTTTACTGAGTTATCCTTTTACACAATTATATTACTCTATCTTCACATTACCTAAGTCTTTTTAAAAATGCATATTTAGGAATAACTGATGAGTAATGATGAAGTGATACCTAGGGGAAAAAGTAACTAAGATCTAATTTCATAAAATAGCTTAGATTTATAAATGAGCCCACATAATATCATGTTATGTAAAATGAGTTTGACATTGTACTTAAAAAAAAAAGTGTATCTTCTCTCTATTCTCTGAAAAACCATTCAGAGGTATAAACATTTTTATGATACTTTAAGAAAATTGTTACAAATTCTTATAAAAATATACTTAAAATATACTTAAAAGTTAAAACTGGGCTCAAAACACCCTATTAAAAAAACCCTAAGTGTTACTCAATGTTTAATGAAGCACAATCAAAATTTACCTTATAGGAAAATCAACTAAGGTATCCAATTTATCTCTCATGTATCGACTGTAAGAAAATCGTTTGAGATGTACCACAAGGACTGGAGGCAGTGACCATAAATCTAATTTCTTTGTAGCTTGTTGATGTTCTTTACAGTTTGGACAATACCTAAAAATAAAAGAGAAATACTTAAAGTTTGACAGACATAATGAAAACAATGGACAAAATGTTTGGAGAGATCTACATCATTCACATACTATATGCCAATTATGTACTAGATTGGTAGAACTCCTGTTAATTTTATCTTCAATAGATTTTCCAAATAAATTTTTATTATAAGTAGAAAAATAAGCACTTGAAGAAATTATGAGGGTGAGGTTATTTGTATTCTAGTATGCTTAAAAGACATGTATTACAAAACTATGCTGAGATACAGATATTAGAAAATCTCAAAACTTCTGGGAATTTAGTGATCACTCAACATGAGGCAGGACACATATCACAGTATACGTTCTTAAAAAAAAAACAAAAGAAACAATTACAAATAGTTATTTAATTTTGTCTCTTACCAAGGATCTTCAGCACCCAGCTTTTCCTTTGTTGTAAAAAGCTCAATGCAATCTTTCAATTTCACAAAGGGTTTTTTGGGAGGTTTATATTCCACACTCTCATGTTTCTCAAAGTCCTAAAGAGAAGTATTTCTTGAGTTAAGAGAACAAATGAAACAAAACTCATTTTAGTGATAACATCTTACTCTGAATAATGAAAAACTCCTAAACTTTCTCAAAAGAATCATAAAGCTTATTTTAGTTGATTTACACCATTCTTCTAAATAACATTGGTATATGAATAAAAAGCGTGAAAGGAAACCTAAAAAAAAAAACCAAAGAAACTCTAGTACATATAGAATTTTTCCACCGGAAAAATTAATTATAGATAGAAGCAAAAGAGCAACAAAACAATGCTATCAGCAATGGGCAGGATGAAAAAGAAGTGAGTGAAGACTTACCTCAGCAGCATTTTCATCAAAGTATCTTTTTTTCAAATCAGGATCCCAATCCAAAGCAAGAAAAGATCTTTCTAAGGTGGAAACATAATTATTTTTGTTTAAAATTTAATATGCCTTACTGCTAACATCTTGTTATGGCAGAACAGTAACTTTTTCTTCATGCTCTAGGTCATCACAGAAAATCACTGTTCCCAAATAATTACAGTATTTGAAGTTAAAAATATATAAATCATAAGTACAAATTTAATCTCCATTTGATAAACACTAACATATATTACTAAACTTAGAAATAATGGGGGTTTAAGATTTTATATAGATAAGTGGTATTTTTCATCAGTGATGAATTTCATATTTTTAATTTAAAAAAAATGAACGTTTTCAAGTTTAGCGTTCAAGTGGTTTAATGACTACTTACCATCTAGCCTAAGCTGCCTATCATCAAATCTTATATGCCTGGTGTCATCTTTGATGTAGTTGATGTCGGTATTGCCTAAGTTGTTGAACTGGAATGTAAACAATCTTTTTTTGTGTCCCGTGAGTTGACCTTTGCAAGTTTCCTCAGTACATAATCCATTTTCAGAATCATTATCTCCTCCAACTGAATCTTCTGACTGACTGTTTTCATTCTCAGATGGAAGTTCCTGATCTTGGCTGGATTCATCATCTGGCTCATCTGTTTCCATTTCACCTAATTTTAGACATAAGAAGCGTTTAAATAAACCCAATGCTACATTTAAAGACTATTAATACTAATATTTATTTTTCTCAGGCTTGTAGTTTTTTTTTTTAAGTTATGTAATCCCCTTCTTCTTTAACTTTTCTCTGAAGTGAAAACTTTTCTCTGAAGTGAAAAGTTTTTACAACTTAACAAGGAAGTAATATATATGGTGAAAAGCTTTTACAACTTAACAAGGAAGTCTTACTTGGTGAGCCTTCTTCATGGATGCCATTTGGGCCATTCCCATTAATATTTTGGTCCTTACAGCAATGTAGGGATCCTTCAGTTTCTTCAGTTTCAGTGGATATTTTGACATACCGGCTTAAATAAAATCACAAATCAAGTTCAGTTACCAAACAGATAAAATAATTTTAGATTCTTTTGATAGAAAAGAATTTCAGTCGATTCAAGAATAGATTTAAAAAAAAATTTCAAAACTCAAGATAAAGTATACCATAACTGCAAATGTCTGTGTTTTGACTCCTTTTGTGAAAAAGAGGTGAGTTTGTTACTCCTACGGTTTTAACATCTCTCAAATTGCTTGATTAAACATTGTCATAGGAGCAGGAGCAATAGTACAGTCAGTAGGGAATTCGCCTTGCATGTAGTCAATCTGGGTTCAATCCCCGGCACTCCATATGGTTCCCCAAGCACTGCCAGAGGTTAATTCCTAAGCTGAGAGCCAGGAGTAAGCCAGAACACCACCAGTTGTGTATATAGTACAGTGGGCAGGGCTCTTACTTTGCACACGGCAAACCTTGGTTCGCCGTGTCATCTCTTATGGTCGCCTGAGCCCCTCTGGGAGTGATCCTTGAGATCAGAGCAAGGAATGAGCACTGCTGGGTTTGATTCAAATCCCTGCCCCTGACACCCTCTCCGCACTCCCCCCCCAAAAAAAAGTGTATGTAAGAAAGAAAACTATTCAGGTTAGCTAAACAAAGGTATCAAGGGTATCCCCTAAGGTATCCACTTTCAAAAAAAAATTACAATACACACCTTATAATTCAAACCAAGTATTTAGGAAGTCATACAAGGGTCTTCATGAATTTTCATCCTTTTAAATAAAACTATTTTGAGTTCTTGAACTGAGTGCATAAAGAAATGAAGCTTCTGACATTTCTTATGGTATAAGAGCATACGGGATGAACCTGTTTTCTTCTAACTGCAAAGTTTTGGTGTAAAGCAACTAAAATATTTCAGGTTGTCTGGGCTAACAATTACCTCAATAATATGGTTCATATGATTATGAAGCTAGATTAGACAATAACTTGATTTTTAAATTGCTCCCTACTTAAAAAAAATGATATACACACTTTCAACATATTTTCACAGTACCTGCACACTTTAATTAGCTGCTGTATTTTATTTTGCTGGTGTAGAACTGCCTTGCACTTACCACATTCTCAAAAGTAGAAGATTATAGAGTTTATCTTCAGTATTGTTTCGTGGTACTGCTATAAGGAAAGGCTGACCGAAAAGTGAAGAACCAGTATGGTGTGTGTAACTTGAATGTCTAAATTTTTCTCTTAGGCAAACAGGAATAATAACATGCTCTGTATCTTCTGTCCTATTGATGTTAATTTCAAACCTGTAAGGAAAAAATGGATGATAAACATTTTTTTTTGCTATTTCTTTTAAATTTTTCTTACTATTTTACACAATGTAGTTTATACTTACACATAAATATCATCTCGTTCCATAATACTACTAAGGTTTTCATCCATGGCAAATATTCTGTGAAATCTATGATTGTATATATCAGTGACTATCATCTAAAAAATAATGAAAATTCTATTAAGCTGGTTTTACAACACTGCAAACATAAGTCCATCACTTCAACTCCAGAAACATTTTACCTTATCTGAAGGTACGCCTGACAAAGTAGACAGTGCTGTACAAAGATCTTGAATGTTTCCAATTTTTGGGACAACCACTTTGTACTGAAAAACAACAAATTACAATGAATTCACTACTTAGGGAAAAAAAGGGCCTTAAACATGTGAATTGAACACAGGGCCTTAAACACATGTAGATGCATGAAATATAGAAAGATGTTAATATCTATCACGGAGTCACCTTCCAAATCCTGAATTTATCTGGAACAAAAATCAGTGGATGATAACTGACCTCATGACTGCTAACTCTTACTTGACATTTAGATAACAGTGTGTTCCCAATTTTGTCAACAGCCTTATAATATCCATACAAGAGCACTAAGTCTATTTTCCCTCGTTTCTCAATTCAAAGTCACATAGCTTGCATTCAACTACAGCTTACTTCTTGGATCATGATCATTTCATAACCCAAAAACTTCATCTGCGACATTTTAAACCCTTATAGGCCACTCTTTAACCACTTCTTAACCTTTCCTGGAAGTTCAGTCTTTGTCTTTTCTGTTTTTTTTTTTTTTTGGCATGCACTGAGATCTCATTTTTAGTTTTCGATTTCCTCCTAGTCTACCAGTTCCCTACTGTCTCTTTGCCCTTCTAACTGAGACTACACACAGTTTATCACTTTGACTATTCTGCCAAATCTCTGACTGCTTTGATGTTGTTTTACTCTCTTACATACTCTAGAGCTATTCAGAAATACTGGAGAGAACTGCCAGTGTGAGAGATTAAATTCAGTACAAATTCAGTGTAACATCTCAAAATGATTTTTTGGGTGTTAAACAGAAAGTTATCTGACTCTTTCTAATTTGCTTATCTTTTAGTAATTACTTAAAATAGTAACTATTTCTTAGACTTAATTTACTATTCTTCTGCTACAGGTAGAATACCTATTTGACCAAGAAAATAGAGGCTGTAGGAAAGGAAAGCATTCAACTACCTGCCTTTTTAACAAACTTAGTGGCTAATAAATTCTTTTCTCTTTCTCTTTTAATTTACAGAGACAGAATGAAAAGTGTCAGTCTTCCTGCTCAAAGCGAACCCTCGTATCAATGATATGAATTCTATTTTTTTCTTTCTCTGGAATCTATATACAAGCAATCATCTAGTTTTGACTCCTGTTAAAGCCCTGTAATAGAATCAGTCTCAAAAAACATTTCCTTTTCTTGCTTTTGATAATTAGGGGTAAGGAGCTCACCTTGTACAGAGCTGACATATTAGAACCCCAGCACCACATATGGGTTCCCTAAGCACCTCCAGGATTAAGTCCGAAGCACAGAGGAAGTGTGCCCCAAAAAAGAAACAACCCCATCAATTTTTAAGGGGTAATATAGCTTTAAATTGGAAACTTTTACGGTTTAGATAACAAATTACACAGGGACACCTTAGATTTCGGTCATTCATCCTTCTAAGATGCTCACTACCATCTACACAGAGTGAATTCATTGTCCAATTTAAATTTTAAGTATATACCTCCTTCTCTAGCCTAGACACATAAACTGAATGTCCACCAATGTCTATTTTTCTCATGTGTTTCAACAGGCACAGAACTAAACACAGATTTAGGTCACAGTAGGTCAAGATAGTCAACACCGAAACAGGTTTCTTTTAAACTATTAATCGTACTCTATTTAAAACAAACAACCTCCCGCCCCCCCCACACCCAACTGTTCCCTCAATTACCCAATGCAACAAAGAATACTTTTTCCTTGGGTAAAGTATGCTTGAGAAAACATTTTCTTCTCCAATAGTCAATTGGTTCTTCCATTTACTGCCATCATGACACTGCAAAATCCTTTCACCTGATCTTAGGTCTAAGTGTTCTAATTCAATCCTTGAGCAAGCCAGACTTGCCTTTTCTCAAACACAAATCTAGGTAAATACTCTCTTTCTCTTGTAATGCCTTAGGATGAAGACCAAACTTCCTATTCCTACTATGACATCCAGACTAGTTTTCTTTTCCTCCTTCTTTTTTGGGCCACCCATGTGGTGCTCAGGAGGGCCCACTGACAATCCTTGGGTCAGTGGTTTAATGAAGGGCCCAAGGATGAGCTTCTTGGGTTTTGCAGTGCCAAGGGCACCCATGTCACCCGGGTGATATTGGGGGCCTCTAGGGACACATGGGCCAGTGCCTTTCTTGACCACATGGTACTAGAACTGAGCCCAACTTGGGTATGTGACACCCTAATCACTGTACTATCTCCTAGCACCAGCATCAAGGTTCTTTGTAATCTATACCCTGCTTATCAATTCATCTACATGTATTTCAGAAGTGGGCCATGTTACCTTTTGCCTTTAGCCCTCTGAACATGCTGTCTCGGTCTGTAATGCTTTTATGTCCAGATCTCAGATGCATCATCATCAATCTGGGTAGGTTACTGCCTTTGTATGTTCCTATAGAACTGTTATGAAAATTTCCACACTAAGTCTTCTTAATGAAGGGGGAGAAGTCTCCTTAGAATGGGAATGAGAAATATTTGCCATTGAACTGTGAATCTACCTTTACTCCAATATCACACATAGTAATCAAAACACTACAGCTTTGATTGTTATAGCTTTATAGCATAATTTGAAACTGGGGGAGAGAGAGAAATCACCCTGCATCAGGGATTCTTTGGCTCTTTAGCAACTTTTATTTTTCCATATAAATTTTGGCAATATTTGGTATACATCCTTAAAAAAATGTCATAAGAATTTTTGAGGACTGCATTGAATCTATATAGTACTTAGGGTAGGGTGGTCACCTTAATATTTCTCTTTCCATTTCACAAACAATCTTTGTTTCCATTTCCTCGTGTTGCCTTCTACTTCTTTAAATGGTGACTTATCATTTCCTGTGTATAAATCCTTCACCTCCTCTGTTAATCCCCGTGTACTTGATTTTTTTGTTCTGGTTGTTCAAAATCATTCACTTAATCACTTAATCACTTAATCCCCGTTATTCATCGATTTATTCGAGCGGGTGCCAGTAACGTCTCCATTCATCCTGGCTGTGTGCTAGCGTAGCCCAATGGTATCTGTTTGTTTTAGGAACATGCAGAGCCTCAAACCGATCATTTAGGGTCTTGACGAAGAAGTCTGACCATCTTGTAGGTGGGCGCCCACGTGATCTTTTGATGTCCCGTGGAATCCAATCAGTAATGGCTCTAGTCCAGCGATTGTCTGTAAACCTCATTATGTGTCCAGTCCATCTGATTTTTGATGTCTTGGCAAATGAGACAGCGTCCCTGATTCTTGAGCGTTGACGAAGATCAGAACTCCGGATTCTATCTCTCATTTGAGTGAATCGTGATATTCCAAGCATAGTTCTTTCGATTCCTCTTTGAGAGACCCGAATAGCGTTCTCATCCCGTTTTCGTAGGGTCCAGGTCTCTGAGGCATATGTTAATGCAGGAAGAACAGTGGAATCAAAGAGATGTGCTCATAGCTGGAGGGTCTTTGTCCTTTTAGTTATTTCTTCAATGCTCTTGAAGGCATTCCAAGCCACTCTCTTCCTCCTGCGCAACTCAGGTGCCAGGTCATTCATCATGTTGATTTCTCGACCTAGGTATATATATATTACTGTTGCATTCGGAGATGGTGGTTCCGTTGAGAGCGAATGGAGCGTCAGGAACAAGGCTGTTTCTCATAAACATTGTCTTCGTAAGATTCAGCTGTAGTCCGACCTTTCCACATTCACGGTCAAAGTCGTTCAGCATTTGTGCCGCTTGGCTGATGTTTGGTGTTATTAGAACGATGTCATCAGCAAAGCGGAGGTGGTGTAGTTGCCGGCCATCTATCTTCACTCCCATGCTTTCCCATTCCAGTCGTCGCATGATGTTCTCGAGGGTGGCACTGAAGAGTTTTGGTGAAATAGTATCACCCTGCCGAACCCCTCTCTTGATATGGATGATTACTTCTTTGTAGAATGGTGAGATCTTGGTAGTGAATCCACAATAGTGAATCACAACAAGCTCCCAGGAGCGACTATTTATTTACTTTATTTACTTTTCTCTAAGTTTTCAGGGTACCTTAAATATCCAACCCGCACGGGAGAGCCTGGCAAGCTATCCGTGGTCTATGCCAAATAGACCAAATTGATATGCCAAATCCAGTAATAAATGGATCTCATTCCCCTAACCCTTAATATGCAGAGTCGAGAAGGATATGGAAGGAGAGGCTGATAAAATACCAAGGCAGAAATAGGCTGCCAAAACGCAGAAAAACAAAAATGATTGTCTGTACTTTTAATGCTCGTACGCTGGCATCTGCTGCATCCATTGAAGATCTTATGGTACAAGCGCGAAAGATCAAGTACGACATCATTGGTCTGACCGAAACGAGAAGACATCAATCACATCATGCCATTTTCGACACTGGAGAAGAACTGTTCCTTGGAACATGTGATAAAAGAGGCGTCGGTGGTGTCGGTATCCTTGTCAACACAAACTTAGTCATGAGCATTGATTCATTCGAATGCCTAACAACCCGAATCGGACGATTACACTTGAATAACTGTGGCTCACTACCGGCAGTTTCTATCTTTGTTGTCTATGCATCAACATCCAGTTATGGTGAAAGAGAAACTGTGAAATTCTACATGGAGCTGGAGAATTTCTATAAAGAAGATCACACCTTCTACAAGATCATTGTTAGTGATTTTAATGCCAAGATAGGACCAAGAAGATCAGTCGATGAACTCCACATCGGGACCCATGGCCTGGAATGGAACGAACAGGGTGACAGATTGTCTGAGTTCATCATGTCAACCAAAACCTTCCATGGTAACTCAGAGTTCCAAAAGGCTGAATCTAAACGTTGGACATGGGAGTCTCCCGATGGACGGTTCCACAATGAAATAGACCACATCATATTCAATCGGCGGTTTTGCCTAACCGATGTTGCTGTTGTCCCAAAATTCCAAACGGGATCAGACCACCGTCTTCTTCGTGCAAAATTCTACCTCACAGAACGAGGAGAAAAGAATGCAAGGTTTAAGAAGAGGACTCCCAGAACAACCACCAACTGGGAGCTCTTTGGCTCTGTTGCGGCAACATGGGAAGATGCCGTCATTGACAACATTGATGAGGAATACGATCGAATGATTCAGCACCTCCATGATTGTGCAAGGAATGCCAAGAGAGAGATAACCACAAAAAACTGCCTTTCTTCGAACACTCTTGAACTTATTTGCCAACGTGGCTTGGCACATGCCTCAGGCAACCACAAGCGAACATCCGAACTGGCAAAACAGTGCAGAGAAGCCATCAAGGATGACTTCAAAAACAGGAGAGCAGCAGTACTGGTAGATGCGGCAGAAGCTGGGAAAAGCATTCGTAATGCCCTCCTGTCCTTCACCAACTACAAAACCAAGATGACTGCCCTCCGACATCATGATGGATCTATCACATCTTCCAGAAGGGCAATGGAGAAGATTATTGATGACTTCTACTCAGATCTCTTTAATAGCCACGTCCACTTGCCCACACCACATACCACATGATGGATATGTCGTTCCCAATGTTCTCCCTTCTGAAATCCAACATGCCATCTCGTCGGTAAAGAAACAAAGAGCACCTGGCCCGGACAAGATGGAAGATGGCCTAGCCAATCAGGGCGTACAAACTCAATACATCAGGATCCTTCGTGAGCTCTATTGCGGATTCAAAATCATTAATGTGATTAAAAAATTCCTTCTACCTCTTGTTTGCATACAGAAAAAACACAGATTTCATTAATTTTGAAGTCTGCCATCCATGCAACTTCCTACGAAATACATAAAAATACGTAAGAAATACATAAATTTCTTATGTATTTTACGGTTTCAGGCCTTATATTCAAGTCTTTGATTTATTTAGAATCAACTTTTGTGTATGGAATTAGCAGTCTAGTTTCATTATTTTGCATGTAGCTCTCTAGTTTTCCCATTTTTGAAAGCAGGAGAAATTGATAGGGAGAATGTAGATCACAGAACCTTGATGCTAGTTTTGGGATTAGGGTGTCACATGCCCAAACTGGGTTCAATTCCTAGCACCATATGGTCATTGTTTCCAGTAGGTTTTTTTTTTTTTTTTTTGGCTGGTGTTTCTACAATTTTCTAAGTTAATGCAAACAGTGATATTCTGGACTTCTTTTCCAATTTTAGTTCTTTAATATCTAATACTATGCTGAATAATAATGATGGTCATCCTTGTGCCTGATCTTAAACAGAAAAGTTTCCATTTTGAGCGATAGCACAGCGGGTAGGGCGTTTGCCTTACAAGCGGCCAACATGGCCGACCCAAGTTCGATTCCTCCGCCCCTCTCGGAGAGCCCGGCAAGCTACCGAGAGTATTCGATATGCCAGACACAGTAACAACAAAGTCTCCAATGGAGACATTACTGGGCCCGCTCGAGCAAATCGACGATCAACGGGAGGGCCTTTACCTTACCTTAAACACAATGTTAGTTGTGAGTTTGTAGTAAGTGGTTTTTATTATATTGTGGGACGTTCTTTGGTAATGTCTGAGAATTTTGTTTTCATATGACAAGTTATATTCTAAAATATTTTAAGATTCAGTCTTTCAAGATTCTAAAACATTTTACTTCCCAAAACATTTGGCTTAGGAAAATTCTCACAAATAAATAGCAGTAAAATGTGCTATAAGCAGTCAACACAGTATCTTTAAAATGCAAGGAAAATAATTACTCACCTGCATAGGTTTGGTAAGTGGATCCATTCTAACTAAGTAAACTTCTAAGGTACGTTCTTTTTTCATGGGCAATGGAAGTGTCAAGTAACAAAAAGGATCAAATGTTACTGAAATTTTTGCACATTCAGGACATACTAAAGTTGACTTGAAAAGGCCATGAAATATGTCTACTATGATAGAATCATTTCTTTTTAAGTGATTTTCCCAGGCTTCTTCAGCAACCACCTTTGAGGAAAATGGACATATATTACAATGAGAAATCACATTATTTATTAACAATGATAACAATAATATTAAAATTTACCTTATCTGGCCTTCCATCAGCATCTTTTAATTGTATGTATGGTTTTTTTCTAATTCTATTCAAATCCTCATGTAGACCATCCAATAGGAACGCTAGTAATTCTTGACAGTCCTGTTGCTGGTATCCAGAGAATTGCGGTGCAAAACGTCCTACTTGTGTCTGTAAGAGGATCAAAACCATAGAACCAATTCTGGAGAAAATACTGATAAAATTTTATTTGTAAGCTTCAAAGCAACTCCTGACACTTTTACAGTCACTGCCAGACATGGAGAACGTGATGAAAAATTCGAACTGTCTGACATGAATGTCCCTAGTTGGGGTAATAGTCACAAACTGGGGTTCATCATTGCTCTATCTTCTTATTTCAGTCTTCACACATCATTTGTCTTTTGTGCTCAATTTAGTGTATGCTTTTCCTCACTTCTTGTGCTTTTTTGGTTTGCTGTCGGTGCTAATTTAAATGGCCACAAGGCTGAAATACTGACAAGTATTCCTAGTACAACAAGCTATGTTGTGCTGTGTCTTACAGAGAAAAGAAATGGGGAAAATACAAGTACTAGATAAGTCTTGTTCACACACAAGTAATACAGTGCTACTCCTGGCTTTGAATAGTGTAATCAATCAAAAATATATATCAAAAAATACACATAAAAATATCAAAAAATATATATATCAAAAGTGTCTCTGGACATAACGACACATAATAAAACAAGACTGTATGCAGTCTGTGATAGTAAAATAAAACTGCTCTGATAGATATGAGTCTAACCCGTATTTCATCTAGGAGCACAGTTTCAATATTAGTTAATTTAGTGTTCATGGCTCAAGTTATAAAACATATCTCCTGTGAAAAATACAAAGGACTACACTGATATGCAACAGGAATATAGGAGTCTTATTTTGTTTTAATTTTCAGCAAGCACCCAATGAAGTTTATCTGGGGAAAAAAAGACCAAGACAGGAAATCCTTAAAATACACATAAATATAGGGCCAGAGATGTGGCTTGACTTAAAATTGTGAGGTCTGGGTTTGATTGCTGGAATCTCCAAATCCCCCTACCCTCAAGTAAGTATTCATCATTGTTTGGTTTTAAGACTTGTCATTAATCGCTACTAAACTGTCAAAGAATTTTCTTGGTGATTTTATCTTTTAGTTGTAGGTCTTCTTAATTGTCCCATGCAAAGATTTGGGAAGCAGAGAATAATACATTGCAACATATAATTATATGTCTATAAATATTTTAAAATCATAGCTAATCCATAAAATAAATTAAATGCTGACTGGAACACAAAGAATTATGGTCAATTTTTTTTATAAAGTGAAAAACACTAAAGAAACTAATAATGTTTCTGAGTCACCAGAGCTCTTAAAATCTGTGTGTAAAGAGATGTTGGATTTCACAGAGGTAACAGAACTATTCTTGCTTATATAAAATTTTCTGGGTCCCAGCTTTTATCAAATATTTTTGCAATAAAGCTGAAAAGAAACTTGAAAGAAAAATCCAGAGTCTATTTACACATGATTTAAAAACAGTATCTAGAAATATAAAACTAACTGGAATCATGGGTTGAGAGATGGTTTGCTTGAACTAGTTCGGTTGAAGTTTAGAAAGTTGAAGATAAACACAGGAGTTAAAATATTTTTCCCTAAAGAATTATCTTATAGTTTATAAAATGTTTCCTAGTAGATATATGAATGTCATTCTTTTTCTGAAATTATGGCTGAAAATTGCTTATTTTTCTTGAAATGTTCAACATTTTTAATATCTACATAATAGTGAAACTTTTTCAACAACAGAAATAGAAATTTCATGGTAGCCTTTGGTTTTAGGAAGTTGCTCTTGGCAGTAAGGGATAGAACTGGGCCTTCTCACATGCTTTGCACGTGCTCAAGTCTGTCAAGCTAACCCTCTAGTTCTTCCTCATAGGGATAATATGAATGATATGAATGAATAAATAGGAATGAATGATAAACCAAATCAAGACCTTGTTAATTCTAAGAACCACTTCAAACAAATCAGAAAAAGAAAAAACCTTAAGAAGCTTAAGAACTACATTAAAAGTATATTTAATATTTAGTGCCTATTTTGTAGACTAGCTCCATTTTAGTAACTTTTTAAACTCAGAATGATTCTCAGAGTACTATTAGTTCTTAAAGTTCATTGATGTATAGGAATTTAGTCTTTATATAAAACATATGTAGATTTATCAAAAAATACATTCTAAAACATGCTGCTGTTTTATATAATTTTTTAAAACAATTTGGGTCACACCCAGCAATGCTCAGGAATTACTTCTAGCTCTGCACTCAGAAATTACTCCTGGTAGTGCTCAGGGAACCATATGAGATGCTGGGGATTGAAGCTGCATGCAAGACAAACACCCTCCTCACTGTACTATCGCTCTGGCCCCTACATAATCTTTTTTTTGGGAAGGGAGGTGCCACAGTTGGCAGAACTCAGGGGTACTCCTGGCTCTACAGTCAGGAATCACTCCTGATGCTGCTCAGGGGACCATTCGGAATGTCAGAAATCTATCCCAGGTTGGCTGAGTGCCAGGCAAGTGACTCACCCACTGTACTATATCTCCAACCTCGCTATATAATTATTATACTGGTGTTTCTCAATCATTTTTTGGGGGGAGGGTGTGAACAATACCAAGCAATGCTTAGGGGTTACATTCCTCCTGGCTCTACACTCAGGAATCACTCCTGGCAGTGCTCAGAGAAGACTGTATGGTATGGAGGAGATGGAACTCAAGTTAGTCACGTGCAAGGCAAGCACCTTACTTGCTGTACTATTATACACCCCCTCGAACTTTATTTTATATATCCCTTCCTATTGGTACTTCATGGTCTAGTTTCCTTTTATTTTTTTAATTGAATCACCATGAGCTACGGTTATAAAGCTTTCATGTCTGAGTTTCCGTCATACAATGATGGAACATACATCTCTCCACCAGTGCACATTTTCCACCACCAATGTCGCCAGTATTTCTCCCCTTCCATGCCACCCCTCCCCCTCCCTATGTGGCAGACAATTTCTCTTTCTCTCTCTCTACTTCCCCCCCGGACCTTTTTAAAAGACACTGATAAACATCACATCCACTGGTGCTCCAGAGAATGGGGGAAGAAGTGTGCCTAGGTATTGGGTTCAGGGCCTTGAATATGCACTACTATCTTGAGCATATCCATCACTTTCCCTTCCTTAAACATCTCATACCAGTGATAAAATGCATTTTTAATCTATGTGCTATGACACTTGGTGGCTGTGTGAATGGGGGCTGTGATTTTTCACCTCTCCCCCAAATAACCACTGTTTTTTTGGATCCGCTAGGAGGCAATACAGCACTTACTGAAATACATTCACTATACAAACCTTAAAGGCTCTTGGTGTGACGTAGCTAAATTTTCCAGACCACATTTGTTTGATCAATTCAGCATAAGATTTAGCTATTTCGCCTCTCATTCCTAAGGGATTGTCAAAATTCAGTTCTTCTTGATACTTATCATTGAGGAAATATTCAGTAAGTGGAGGTGTATTGCTCAAACACTGCAAAGAACAAAATATATTTTCATGTAAAAGTAGCCACACATGTATAGTTTCCTTAAAGTATTTTAATATGAAGAGAGAAACAAATTTATTTGTCATAAAATTAAACTGGAAATAGGAAAAATGATGAAAACTCTTGCACTAAGAAGTAACCGGTCAAAGAAACACTTAACTATTCATTTCCCAAATTCAAACAATTAGAATAGGTGAATAAGTGAAAATGCTAGTATCTGTTCCTGTAAAATCTGCATTCATTTCAACCACAGCAAGCTACCTGTTAACTGTAAAAGTATTTCAAAGTTTTTTTTCTTGTACTTAATAGAAAGGTAGAAATCATGGATTGCTACTTAAGCCAGACACCTGCAAATAAACTGAGTAGGTAAAAACTGAGCGTAAACAAATTAACTTTAAAGAGGTGTTTACAGCATTCACTATTAATTCCTATCACAAAAGACCAGCCTTTAAACTTTTCATTTGGTCAACCACTTTTGGAAAGGACAGCATAGATTAGTTAAGCCTGAGAAAACAAACTTTTGTTTGTTGAACCACTGGTGAAGCATCATTACTCCTTATTGATCTTTGTTAGCAGCATAAAAGCCAAATTTAGTTCATAGAAAGATTAAAAATATAAAAAAAAGGAAAACTCCAGGGGCTGGAGTGATAGCACAGTGAGTGGGCACTTGCCTTGCACACGGCCGACCCGGGTTTGATTCCCAGTATCCCATATGGTTCCCTGAGCACCGCTAGGAGTAATTCCTAAGTGCAGAGCCAGAAGTAACCCCTGTGCATTGGCGGGTGTGACCCAAAAAGGAAAAAAAGAAAAAAGAAAAAGGGAATACTCCAACTTATTTCTTACTTTTTAAAACTGAGGACTTCATGCTCATTCACATGCCTATTCTTTTCCATTTTAAATGGAATAATTTATATGAAAAAAAGATAGCCAAGTAGTTTGGACACATTGTGTCAGGATACCTTAGATTATGTCAAATAGTATGGTATGAACCCAATATTATTTAATACACCAGATTTCTAGTGTTATTAAGGATAATAAGCAATGACTAAGAGACATTTATTTATATGTAAATTTCTTTGTTTTGGGTGCAGTACTGGGCAGTGCTCAGGAACTATTATACCACTCTTAGTACTCAGAATCCCTCCTGAGCAGTGCTGGGGAACTCAAGAAGTGCTGGGGATAGAACCTGGGCTTCCTGAATACGAAGAAAGTACTCCCACCTGTGAGCTACCTTTGCCCACCCAAAACCCTTGGTCTTACAATCAAGTGTAAAGTACTTTAAGTATGAGCAGCAGAAGCCAAATTCTGAGACCCCAGATTTATATTAATAGAAATCAAAGCTTTTCAAAGTCTGCTTATCACTCTTGGATTAAGTTAAGTAGTTTAGGTAAACTCATGCCAATAATCCAAAAACTATAAACAAACTCTGACTATATGCCATATACTGTTTGGCTGAACTCCAAAAAAGACTGAAAATAAGGCATAGTACTATATTTTGTGGTTTCAATTCTAATTTATATTTTCTCATGCTAATAATGTCTATTTTAGAATTTTCTATATTAAAAACATATAGTGTCTAAATGGTAGTCTGTCCCAACCTCAATGAGAAAAGGAGAATTGCTTATCAACTCATGGAATTTGTATAATTTGTATAATAAAATGTATAATTCTCTCATGACAGTAACATGAACAGTTAAAAACTGCATGTGAGTTTGCATAAGATAAAGGTAGATCATATGACACACATGACAATATTAAGGAAAAGAATACTTTCCTCCCTTCACACTTTTTATATCACCATTTAAAAATCATATACACCTTCTGAGTTTCATTTTATCTTTTCCTTTTGGTTTGACTGTTTGCTTAACTATAAACTCAGTATTAGAGGCAGGACAAGGCAACCTAGATTATATCAGTGTTTTAAGAAAGCATTAACTCCATCCTTAGTATTACCATATTAATATTCTTAGTATTCTCATATGTGTCATATGATCTATTTTTGAACAGATAACTTACTACAAAAAGGATCCGCACTAAGTAATAAATGAGGCAAAGGAGAGTTCAGGAGCAACTTCCAATTATTAACTAATAATTCATTTTCAAATCCTTCTATTTGAAGAGCTCTGGAATATAATGTTCCACTACTGTTGTAGCATGGATTTATCAAAAACCTACTTTATAGCATTACTAGATTCTTCACAGGACCAAGTGGTGCAAACTGAACTCTGATTTTACTTAATGTAAATGTATCCTTATCTTGGAGTTTCTGAATATATGCTAGCTTTTCAGTAGTATTCAGATCCTACATTTTGACCTTACTGCCCACTATAAGTAATTTATAGGAACTTCAAATGAAAATCTAAACTCTTTTAGAAGGGTCAGTCACCTGTGCAGCCCTATCCCTTGCTAACAAAAAACAAAACCAAAACTGCTTTATTTGTCGCCTTATTAGAAATCTTTGACTTCCATGCATTCTTTCTGCAACATTACTCCATGTATATGAAATGAACCTTTTGTTTTTACTAACTCTTACAAATTGCTAAAACTTAGAGATCTCATCTGGAAGTTTTCTTAGATTCTAGTGTTTCTGTCTACTTAAAATATATCCATCTTCCTTATTTAGTGTTAACTTTCAGGCAGTGTTGATTTTATAACATACTGTAACTTTAGTTTTTAGTTTGGCTATACTGTTTAAAGGCAGACTTCCCTGAGGAGAGAGACCAGAACATCCTCTGTGCTTACTGTCCATTTAAACTTGGCTTGAGCACAATATATGAATACTTACTAAAAATATTTTTGTCTATGTCTAAGACATTTATCTTATTAAAACTTTACAAAACTTAGTAACATTAAAACATTTTGATGTTTAGAAACTTTACTAAATGAGACAAAATAATGTTTAGAAACATTACTAAATGAGTCAAAGTATACTTGCTTGCAAATAATAACCACAAATGTTTCTTTAAGCACTTCTAAATGACTATTAAATCAAAAGAAGAGCATCTGTTAAAAACTACCCCACCTTTTTGATTGACTTTGGGGTGGTCTTTGCTTGGCTTTCAAAATCCCCAGACACTAAAGAGCACCTTCTATTTTCACAGAGACGTATATAAGTTTGATTATAATTCAGTATTAATAAGCTAACTAAAAACACAAATAATTTTAATGATAAATTATTAGCCATATTACCTGTCATCATGACCAATATATACTGAATTGAGTCTTATGCTCAAAATTAAACCAGTAAGTCCTAAATGATCCAAAGAAACCAATTACCCTATTTTTGAACATGTTTTAAAAAATTTAAAAACATTTTTCTTAAAATTTTACAAACACAAAACAAACACTGTCCTCCCATTGTTCCTCGATTTGCTCGAGCGGGCCCAGTAACGTCTCCATTGGAGACTTTGTTGTTACTGTGTTTGGCATATCGAATACATCACGGGTAGCTTGCCAGGCTCTGCCGAGCGGGCGAGATACTCTCGGTAGCTTGCCGGGCTCTCTGAGAGGGGCGGAGGAATCGAACTTGTGTCGGCCATGTTGGCTGCTTGCAAGGCAAACGCCCTACCACTGGAAAAGCAAATATTCAATAGTGCTTTCTTAATACAGATAACAGGTAAAAAAACTAAATGATGCTAAACTTTTCTCTATCATTTTGAGTTTATCATACTTCTTTCTTCACCTGGAATATATTAATCAAGAAATTATTTTCTTGAGTGGTATAAAGACCAGTGGGAATATTAAAAGTTCGTACAACTTTTGATACACATTTCAAGGCACAATTAAAGGCAGAAGTCAAATGAAATAATGCTATACTGTCAATCTGGCAGAAGACAATTACAATCAGTCACAATATAGCTTGCTTTGTAGTCTTGATTTGCGATTACTTAAAGCAATTCATTATTCTAACTTTAAACAAAAATTTAAATACATCCTTTTTACTTGGCTTTGTTTTTTGGCCACACCCAGTGGTGCTTAAGGCTAATCCTGGCTTTGAGTTTAGGGATTATTCCTGGAGGTGCTCAGGGGACCATATTCAGTACCAGGGACTGAACCTAGATTGCTGCATGCAAAGCAAACACCCAACCTGCTGTCTGGTTGCTCCAATCCCGCATATATAGACATCTCTTGACAATAAGAAAAATTGGAAACGTTAGTTGTCATTGAATGTAATGTCTTAAAATATTTTTTTAATTTGTTCAATGGTCTCGAGCGATAGCACAGCGGGTAGGGCGTTTGCCTTGCACGCAACCAACATGGCCCACCCGAGTTCGATTCTTCCACCCCTCTTGGAGAGCCCGGCAAGCTACCGAGAGCATCTTGCCAAAGTCTGGTAAGTTACCTGTGACGTATTCGATATGACAAATAAGGTAACAAGTCTCACAATGCTACTGGGACTGCTTGAGCAAACTGATGAACAACGGGAAGACAGTGATAGTGAATTTGTTCAATAATAAAAATCATAATGAAGAGTTCTGAAGCATTTCTCTAAAGATTCTTCTGCTATAAAATTATCACTTTCCAGAGTCTGGAGTGTCAATGGGTAGGGCATTTGCATTGCACAAGACCAAATTGGATTTAGGGATTTCATTCTTGGTAACCCAGATGCTTCCCCAAATCCAACAAGAGTAATTACTGAGCACTGCTGGGTGTGGCCCCCAAGAAAAGTAAGGATCACTTTCCTACCTGATTAGGAATGTTTTAAAAACAACCTGTTAAGACCTGTATACCTTTCTTTGGTTTGTGGTTTTTTGGGCAACACCCAGCTGTGCTCAAGCTTTATTCTTGGTTCTGTGCTTCAGGGGCCACTCCTAGCAGTACTCAGGGGACCCCACATCATACCAAGTATGGAACCCAGGTTAACTTCATGGCTTACCCTGTCTAGTCCAAGATACATATTTAAAAATGCGATGTACCTACAGAAAATTTCCTATTAGAATACTCAACGCTTTAAATTGAGTGATATGATATGAAACAAATCATACAT